AGCAGTTTGTTCTGTCGGCGGTTTGTCCCCAGTTAGTTTGTCCCCAGTTAGTTTGTCCCCAGTTAGTTTGTCCCCAGTTAGTTTGTCCCCAGTTAGTTTGTCCCCAGCAGCCCGGCGGCTCCTGTCTTTACGGTCATATTCTGTTTTTTGTTGCTGAAACCTGAGCTCCATGCTGACCTGTGCTGCAGCACTAAAAAGATTAGTTCCTTGAGATGAGAGGAACCGTCAGCTCGTTTTTATAGAAGCCGTTTCAGTTGGAAGAAAGAAGAACCGATCAGCTGAAGACATGTTTAAAGTCCTGGATGATCCGGCTTGTTTGGATCCATCCCCTGTGGAGGTCAGGTCAGGTCGGCTAGCAGCAGAGCAGATCCGGTCGCCCTGACGTCGGTTTTTACGGCCATCAGTTCACTGATCATTCATGATGTCAGGAAACATGTCGGCTCTGGACCCGATCCTCACCTCCTGGTGATTAGTCTGCTGTCCGACCTCCCGGGTCTTTGTTAGTTTGGCTGCAGCAGAACTGGATGTTGGACCTGGAGCAGTGAGGGCCTTCCTGTCAGACGGAGGTGATGCATGAAGAGGCCTGGATTGACGCAGTCAGCTGAGTCAGCAGTTGGATCATGACTCTATAACCAGGCTTTATTTTTAGATGAGGCACTTTTTAAAACCTTTCTGATCAACTTTCCTGGTTTGTTTTTTTTTTCCTCCTCCTGAAAGGTCCTGGTTCCAGGAACCATCACCAATGCCTACCTGGACAACCTCATCCCAGACACTCCCTACTCCGTCACCGTCACGGCCATCTACGCCGACGGCGAGGGATCGGAGATGAAGAGCGACGGCAAAACGCGTAAGAACACAACCTGACCGCCACCTTCCTGTGGACGCTGCGTCACGCTGTGGTTTAAGTAATTCCACAAGGAAACAGGACCCCTGCAGGAAGTAGACATAGCCGCCGATGCCTCTGGTGCAGAGAAAACCAACCAGCCGGGGCTTCAGGTTGTTTCTGGCTCCTCAGCAGCAAAATCACAAATAAAAAAAATAAAATCTTGGCATTCAGGGAATTAACTACTGGATTGATCCATAATCAGGAAACCTGGAGGTAAAGAACAGAAGGGATCAACAGTTTTTATTCATTTGGCAAATTGGACCCAACAAATCTACTTATTTTATAAATTTATAACTTTCATTTCAGCTGATTTAAATCTGGATCCAATAATTTGAATTACAGTTGAGAGAAACATACATTCATACGGAGTGAATTTTGTTCCACTATTTGTAAAAGCAAATAATACATTTTGTAAATTTAAATTTGAAAGAAAGCAATCCAGAAATGAAACCTAAAAAAAGTTTAGTTAGATTCTGTTTTTTCTTCTCATTTATGTTCTATATTTTGTTTTTTTTTAATTGTATTTTGTTAAAAAAAACTATTTTTTTTCTTTTTTTGTATTTTAAACCTCATATTTTCAAATTGTATTTTTTTAAATGTCTTTTTAAGGATTTTTTTCAGATAGTTGAGAATTATTATTTTAATTCATTGGTTTCTTTTTAAAATGCGTTCTCTTCACTCATGCTAATCGTTACTCTTGATTGGCCCACTCATCAATGAAAATACTGCAGCTTATGTCAATACACACCAACAGAAATACGTCTTTATATTAAATTATAATTTATATTAAATTTTTACAAAAAATTACTGTATATTCTGGATTATAAAGTGCACCTCACTATTAGCCAATTATTCTACTGAGCTGTCTCCCACCAAACCTGTAGGGGGAGCTCTATATAGCCCATGGAATAGGGACAAAGAAGAATGCTAGCTCCCATTAGCTTGTTAGCTTGCAGCAGTAAGAGCTTCTACTGAAAGCTGGAGCTTCATCAGCTCCTTATTTCAGCTCTGCGGAGTTGAACCCAGTCGCTTTATTGGTTCAGCAGCTTTAATGAGGTAAATAAATGTCAATATGTGTGAAACAAGGACATTTGTTCTCCGTCGCGCCTGATGCTAGCACGTTATTGCGCTAAAGGAAAATTAGCCCCTTGTTCTTTCATTTCCAACTTCGACTTTGCCCTCTGGTGGTTACTAAAAATCCACAGATAAGCTGCACCTTCTTATAAGCCACATTGTTCAGTGTGGGAAAGAAATAATGAAATTAGACAAAAATGTTTGTTAAAAAAAATGTGTAAAAAAAATATATATATATGTATATATATATATTTTTTTTTTTACAATATATATATATATATATATATATATATATATATATATATATATATATATATATATATAAATTGTGCAAGTCAGCTGCAAAGCTTATTTATAAATTATCTTTTTTTATTTTCCATTGAAAACACATGGTCTTTACTCGAAACAATAATGGAACAAAATTGACTCCATACATAAACTACAGTATCATCAAAGCCAAAGATAAAGGGACAGAAACCAGCTGCTGGAACAGATTTAAAATGCATCTAAACCATCAACCATCTCCTTCTTCACACTGCGTCATGTTTCAGTACCCAGAGCGGGCCCCAGGAACCTGCGCGTGTACGACGCCACCACCAGCACCCTGACCATCGGCTGGGACCACGCAGAAGGGCCCGTCAGGCAGTACCGCATCGCCTACGCCCCCATGACCGGAGACCCCATCACAGAGTTTGTGAGTGCATCGTTACACACATGCTGGGTGTCCTGGATGTCACCTGTGATGTCAGCTCACTGATGCTGGACCTCGTTAAAAGAAAAACGGGTCGTTTTGTTTTACACTTTGGCAGCAGAGTGATGCATCTTTGTTGTGGATAAACTCTGGTGATGCTGCAGTTAAACTATGTGATGATGTCACAGGACTGAGATCTTCACCGGCGACTTATTTAGATTTACATTTTTTGCAGTGTGAAGCACCGGCGGTCTGGTTCCGGGCCGCCCTCAGCGTGTCTGACACTAACGCTCCTCTTGTTCTCCCGATGCTTCTAGACGATGGTTCCAGGGAACAGGAACAACGCCATGCTGCAGAACCTGTTCCCAGACACGCCGTACAACATCAGCGTGGAGGCCATCTACGGCGAGGGGCCCGGAGGGTCCCTGAGCGGGAACGGGCGGACAAGTGAGGCCAATTCGCACATTTACTCTATCTGAATGCAGTGGGCGAGTAAATGTGATTGACAGCTTGCAGCATCACTGGGCGATGCCCGTTCCATGTTGCATTCAAGGACTGTGGGTATCCAACTACTTGAGCAAGTAGTTGGAGTTATATGGAGTTAAAAAGAGGTCAAAATGTTTGTAAACTTATAATAGT